AAATGATACTGAGGCCTTGACCATGGGGGCCCCTAGAGGCCTGTGTCCCTCCTGGGGCCCCACTGTGTGACCTGCTTCCTCACGCCCTTCTCCAGCAGGGCCGGGTCCTACTCCCTGGCAAAGCAGGGATGCAGCAGGCCTAGAATACATAGATGCTTGTAAATTAAAAAGTAGTTAACACTGATGGAGCACTCACTCTGTGCCAGGCACTGGGCTAGGCTTCTAGGAAGTAGACACATCAATGTCATCCCCATTTTACAGATGAGAACATTGAGGCTGAGAAAGCCTAAATGGCCCGCGCTGTTCACCTGGAGCGTCTGAGTGTCAAGCCTGCGCTGGGAACCACTGGCCCAGCGATGTCCCCACAGCAGGTAGAGCAGCAGTGGGGGTGTCAAGGGGCTGAGAGTCCTTTCCAGGAGAGACAACCTCATGGGGATATCGGGCCAGTCCCTCTAGATGAGCCCATGAGTCATGACCCGTGGAGGCTCTAGCGCCACCCCTGACTCCTTCTGACCCCGGAGGCGCGGCAAGCCATTCCTCCAGGCACCCAGGTGCCTTGCGGGGGCCAATGAGTGACTCATCGAAGCTTACACTGAGGGCTCGTGCTATCTGTAGGGGCCGTGGGTGACTGTTAGTCCCATTCCAGAACACAGCGTGGGACGTGCCTGCATAGAGGGGATGGGGAACGTGGGAACATGGTGCAGGAGCCATTCTTTCTGCCTTGGGAACTTGGAGACAGGGAAGGAAGCCTCCATGGGAGAAGTGCTATCTGAGCCCATCCTTGAAAGCTTCGTAGTATCTCATCAGGCAGAAAAATGGGGAAAGGGCATTCTAGGCTAACGCACAGCCCGAGCAAAGGTGTGGGAGTGGGAGGGGCCCTGGGTGAGGCCGAGGGCGGCTCAGCTCTGGGGAGCGCAAGTGGGGCGCTCAGGGCTCTGCGGCCGCCACACTAGGGAGTGGGGTGTTTGAAGATCGGGGAGCTGCAGTGAGGCAGTTAGTTGATGCGTGTTTATTGAGCAGTTCTTAGGAGCCTGGCTCTGTGATAGGCGTGAGGGGACCGAGATGACTTCAGGCACGCTCACCCATAAGAGCCTGGCTGGCCCGCTAACTAACCTGGATCCAGCACCTTTCCTTCCTCGGACTGGCCTTCCCCTTCCATAAAAGCCCAGGCTTTACTGGGCTTGTCACCAGATGACAGAGCTCTTTGAGGTCTTGGGATGAAAGATCCCGTAAATATGGAGCCCTGTCGCCAGCCGGGGCAGGGTGGAGTTGGGAGCCCACATCAGATCCCCGACAGGATAGAGAAACAGCCCCTGGGGGGTGGGAGGGCACCAGGATCCTCTGAGGTTACCGCCCTCCACAGCTGCCAAACGTGTTCCTGCTGCCAGGAAGCCTGACATTAAAGTCCTCCCCATCCCGCCCCCAGCAAGGACACTGCTTGGGGTGATTAAATGACAGACGCCGACACCCTGTCTGCTGACCCATGCTGACAGCAGGGAGGGAGAAATAGAGTTGGCCTTGGCAGCAGCGAAGTGACTAGAGGCTCTGCTGTCGCTTTCGTGTTCCTCTGACATGGGCACACTGAGTCCCTGGCACACGAGTCTGGAGCTGGGGCAGGCAGACAGGTGCACAAGTCACCCCACCTCCATGTGGGACGGTCACATCTCCCCGACGCGACTATGAGTCCAGGACAGACCAACAGCCCAACCTCCTCGTCTTCCCAAAGATCTCCGGCAGCAAAAGCCCTTTGTGTTGAAGCAGTTTCTCTCCTCACTTGACCTCACACACGAGGAAAGAGAGGCCAGAGGGCCTTGCTGACTTGTCCAAGGTCACGCACAGGACAGTTGTCATTATTCACGTGAGGAAAATGGCTCCGAGAGGTCAAGTGGCCACCCCAGGATCACAGAGCAAGCAAGCGGGGCAGGTGGCCTGGAGCCAGAGCTGCGGGTCCCACTTTGCTTTTTATCATCCCTACACGGACGTGAGACTTCCTATGGCTGCTCTGGGTGAGAGCAGAAGAGTGCTCAGTGGCCCGGGGGGGCCCCCCCGCAGGCCGGGGCTGGGGCAGGAGCCCATTTTGGCTCCCCTGGCTGAGCCGTCTGTTTCTCAGCATCTCCAGCAGAGCAGGCAGGGCGCCCAGGGCCCACGATAAGGAAATGGTTTCATTTTCATCCTTTTAACATCAGAAGAAAAATTCCGTATAATCATAATAATAAATACTTACGAATGAATCAAGCCTAGATTGCAGTCATCTTTCTGCCAACGCGGTCCTAACATATATGTTTACATATTTTTTTTTTAAATAAAGGAAGGGGCTGCCAAGGCAAAAGTGCCTGGTGACAAAGAAAGCCATCACGTGGCCCCCACCGCAGGGGCTGCATGGTCAGCCACTGAGATCTTGTTCCAGGGGACGAAGCGGTCCGCCTCCTGCCCCGCCACTGGGTATGAAATGATGAGGAGAGAAGGAGGAGCAAGAACGGGGCGGAGGCCAAGAGGAGAAGACTGGCCACATGAATGGCAGCCACGCAGGGAAGAGCCCGAGGGAGTGAGAGTTGCTGAGGGAGCCGGGGGAGATAGGTGAGGGGCCGAGAGAGGGGGAGACGGGTCTGCGTGTGATGGGCGGCACGGCACAAACACGGGACCCCCGAACAGTGAAGCCAAGAATTTCTCCTGGCTCTCACTACTTCCCTGTGGCTGTGGTAACAAGTTGGCACAAATTTAGGGACTTATAAGCAACAGAAACGTATTCTCTCACAGTTCAGAAGACCAGAAGTCCAAAATCAAAATCACTGGACCGAAATCCAGGTGTCAGCAAAGCCGTGCTCCCTCCCGAGGCTTTAGGGGAGAATGGGGTCCTTGCCTCTTCCAGCTTCTGGGAGCGGCCAGCATCGCTTATCCCATGACAACATCGCTCCAATCTCTGCCTCCGGGGTCCCGCTGCCCTCTCCTCTTCTCTCCCTCTCTCTTAAAGAACACTTGTAATTACATGTAGTGCCACCTTAATAATGCAAGATAATCTCCCTATCTCAAAATCCTTCATTTAATGGCGTCTGCAAAGATTCACCACTTTCACTCACATGCACAGTCTCCAGGGATTAGGACCTAATATCCTTGGGGCCATTATTCACCTTCTGCTGGCCCAGAGAGGCAACATGGTTCAAGAGGGACCTGCCTCCAGCCGGCAGAAGGCACGCCCCAGGAAAGGGTCCTTCTGCCAGGATCCTCGGAGAGTGAAACAGGCCTGCAGGGGCGAGGGTGAGATATGGACACTGCGCTGGAACTGATGAGGACAGGACTGGGGAGTTAAGCGCCCAGGTGAGAAGGTGTCAAGAGAGGCCCCTGGGAAGCTGGCCCTACATCTGATTTGCGTTCTCATTTCACTCATTCCACGGGCAGCAGATACTCAGACCCGAGCCAGGCCCCGTGCGGGGTCCTGGAGAGCCAGCCCTGTCCTCAGGGTCTAACCCTTGTCTTCAGGATGCTGCAAGTGCAGGTGAGGGCCCCCTCTTTTCCAGGGGGAGCAGTAGAGGCCCAGGAAGGTGGGTCGTTTTTGTCTGGAGTGCTAAATTGTTAGCCCAAGGGCTTCACTCTTCCTCAAGCCTCTACCTACCCCCCACCCCCCCACCCCGCCCCACCACACCTTCCTGTCCTGTCTCAGTGATTTTGTAATTTCTGGTCTCTTCCTCTTGGTGCTTTAAAAGTGAAATAACCACAGTTACCCCTAGAAGAACTTGCACAGGAAATGACTCCTCCTGAGCTGTGCACTTGTGCATCTGTAAAGTTGGCGGGAGGCGGGCTGCTGGAGTCTGGCAGCATTTGACCCGCTCAGTATCTATCTATCTATCACACGAATCTGAGTGAGGGAGAGGAAGAGGTAACCAGCCTTGCCTTCTCAGTATCAAATGCAGCAAACTTCCTCCTTAAAGTGGAGAAAAACTTCTGCAGTGAAACTTGGGGGACCTGGGAGCAGACGGGGAAGTGACGGAGCCTTCTGCCATGTCTGGAATCCCAAAATCAGCCCTAAAGCGGCAAAATCAGACTTGGATGTGAAGAGAATCTCCTAATCTCAATTCTGCCTCTTTCTAGCTGTGACTTTAAGCAAATCCCTTAAAACCTCTCTGAACCTGTTTCCTAATCTCTAAAATGGTTGTAGAAATGCCTTAGCTAAAGGGACAATTACGCATGCGCCAGGCGTTTAGCAAGCCTTCAACAATCCACTAACAATCCACTAAGGGCTAACTATCGCTACCCCTCCAGGTGGGCCTGAGGTCAGGGGTCTTCTACTCTCCTTGCTCCCCACTTCCTTGGGCCATCCTCAGAGAGGCTGTGTCTCCCCAGTCACCCGATGCCTTTAAGGCCCCGGCACCCGGGCTTGCGGAGTCGGCTTGCGGGGCGCTGGGACGCCGCGGCCGGAAGGCCACGGGTGGGGTGAGGCGCACGAGGCCGCGCTCGGAGCCGGATCAGGTGTTTTGAGCCGCCAGGCCGGGAGTCAAGTGCGCAGTCAGGCCCGACCGGGCCCCCACCCGCGGGCTCCAGCAGCGTCCTCCAGCGGCCCGCCGCCGCCCCCGCGCCTCCCACGCGCGGACTCCGGGCAAGGCGCGCCGGGCCACCCCCCTCCGCCACCGCCCACGCGGTGGGAGGAGCGAACCGGGGCCTTTGTGTTCAAACCGCCCAATGGGCGGTGGCAGTGGGCGGTGACGCGGGCGGGGCCTGGCCAATGGGCCGCGGCCTGTCAGCGCTGATTGGCAGGCGCACACATACAC